CCCCCCACCATGTAATAAAACTTTATTTTTTATTACAGTTATCTGTATTATACACACTACATAAAGGGAATTCCACTGACTTGACTCAATCTTGTTTTGTTTGCAGGTGGGAGAAGGCTGGTCAGGTGAGCAGAGAACTCTGGGAAAAAGCTGGACAACAAGGTTTGCTGGGTATCAATATATCAGAAGAGCATGGTGGCATTGGAGGGGATCTCTTATCTGCAGCAGTTGTCTGGGAAGAGCAGTAAGTGCCTGATGCCCTTTGAAAAACCTTTCACTTTCAAGTCCCATTCTGATTTCCTATTGCAGGTTTTGCCCGAAACATTGTTGGCTTTTCCTCTTCGTGTTTCCTAGCAGTAAAATGATAAGACAATTGTTCTGAGTTGCTAATTATTCTAAAAGAGTCCACTGAACCTGTTGGGCATGTGGTTTAGTCTTCATTGTGATGTAAGTGCTAATGTTATTTCACCTTAACTCTTCTTTATACTACAGCATTGCAGCAGTAACCAGGAACTTTTTGCCCTTTTTCTCTGAGATCTTAAGCAGGATCCTAAAAAGATAGACATAGGTCCAAAACACACTGCAGAAATAATCCAGTTTGAGACCACTTTAACTGCCCTGGTTCAGTGCTTGTTAATCCCGGGGAATTGTAGTTTATTGTGGCCCCAGAGCTCTCTGACAGAGGAAGCTAAATGTCTCACAGAAATACAGTTCCCAGAATTCCCTCGCATTGAACCAGGGCAGTTAAAGCAGTCTCACGCTGGATTTCTGCAGTGTGTTTTGGACCATAGTATTTAAATCATTGGATGCTTTACTTAACAGTGAAATAAATAGCTTGAAGGGATAATCTCCCTCCATTCCATTTGTATCCCATCTTTTTCCCAGAGTGGGAATCAAGGGGGTTTACAAAAGGCAGAAAATTACAATTAAAAGCACACGCAGTTAAAAACACACTAAATTTGAGATTAAAACACTATCAAACAAAAAACAATTTAAAATATTGCTTTGAAACAAAGATTAACAACAGTTCAACACCATAATAAGCTCTTCTTTTATTAACAATTGCCTAAATATTGTTTTTTGTGGGTTTTTTGGGCTGTGTGGCCATGTTCTAGAAGAGTTTCTTTCTGACGTTTCGCCAGCATCTGTGGCAGATGCTGGCAAAACATCAGAAACTCTTCTAGAATATAGCCACACAGCCCAAAAAACCCACAAAAAACTATGGATGCCGGCCATGAAAGCTTTCAGCTTCACATTACCTAAAGATTGTTTGAATTGTTGTTGTTGTGTGCCTTCAAGTCGTTTCTAATTTACGGCGACCCTAATGTATCATGGTGTTTTCTTGGCAAGATTTGCCTTCCTCTGAGGCTGAGAGGGTATGACTTGCCCAAGATCATGGTTTAAAGGTGATGCGGTGATTCAAATCCCTGTCTTCAGTCATAGTCTAACCACTAACCACACTCCAACCACTACGCTGCACTGTTTCTCCTTTCTGAAATAGAAAGTTTTTAACATGACAACAAAGAAGGAGCTATCCTAAGTTATCCTGACTTCTCTAGGGAGAAGGTTCCAAAGTGTGGGAGCAGCCACAGAGAAGGCCTTCTCCTTCATTCCCACCAAACATGACTGTAAAGGTGGTAGGATAGAGAGAAATGCTTCACCTAAAAATGTAACAGCTCAGGCAGGCTCATATGGGAAGATATGGTCCATCAATTAATTAGCCTCCTCCTGCGCCTTTTATATCATAGCAACTCTAATTCCTTTAATCCTGTATCAGCTTGACCAGTGATGAGAAATCTTGGGCTTAGTAGCTTCCTAACATCTGAAGGGCAAGAGGTTCCCCACTTTTGTGATAGTCTGATAATATGGCATCCTAAAGCATGCAGGATGGAGTGTTGTGACTCTAAATTTAGAATAGTGGAGCCCAATGAATAAGGGATGGCTGAGGAAAAGGGGAATCGTTGCTTATATTTTCCCTCACCTCTCTCTCTCTGTTTGGTTAGTGGTGCCTGGCAGTGCATCATCTGTTGACATTATCCACAGACTGAGGCCGTGTTTTGAGCTGTTCTGGAGGTCCTTTAATACAACATAATAATAATAGTATGTTTCCACTTTATCTACCATGGCTTCAACCTGTGGAATTCTGAAGCTTGTAGTTTGGTCAGAGGCGCAAGAGGATTCCAGGTTTCTAAAGGTGCCTCCCTGAACTACCACTCCCAGGACTCCATAGGATGCTTCCAGGGCAGGTAAAAGGCAGGCATAGGGCTATAACAGTAGTGTAAAAAGGCCCAGCTTTAAGTGTCAATTAGTGGCCTTCATGAGGAAGTTGAATGGGCTGAGTAACTGTGGTCCACTTCATTGTGCTGTACTTCACCCCAGGCACAGCTTTACCATCTCTTGGAACCAGATGCAGTGAAAAGAATTGTCTCCTTCACATTTTATTTCTAAATCTTAGTTCCTGGGGCTAAACCAGATGCAAAACATACGTTCAGATCTCCAGATGACTTTTTCTTCAAAGCAGCTGCATGGGGCTACTGATTTGGCTGGCAAGGTTGTGGAGGGTGATAAATGTTTATCTCAGTACTGTTTCTCCCAAGTAAATCATAGCCATATGTTTGGAGGTCATAGGGGAGGAATGATAACCCCCAGTTCCATTTATCATCAACTTGGCAACCTTCTAGGGAGTAAATAATAGATGTTGAAAGAACCTGTCACTGGTTGCTTGTATTCACAGCTTTTAGCTTTTGAATACTAAGGCAGTTGTTCATATTTCATTAATGTTCACCCATCTATTCATTTATCCTTTTGCTATAGGCAGCTAGCATATTAGGGAGGAGGCTAGAATCCTTGTTCCATGCGTGTTTTCTGGTTTATGGCTATCTGCTTCTGAACCAACACATCCAGTCTTCTAGGTTTGGATCATAGACTTAACTTGCCAACAGGTGGAGCTGTTCCACGATTTTATTTTTTCTTAGGTATACTCTTTGAATTAGTAGCTCTACTCCCTTGCTTCATTTGTGCCAAAATATATAAAACTCCAGTTACCTGAAAGTATGCAATGTTTCATGGTTTTGACATCTTCATGTGTTTCAGGAATGTATGCAAAATGTATGCCGAAAACTCCAAACAACTCCATACAAGAATGTTTGCAAAAAGCTCCAAACTATTGAGAAGCTGCTTTTCAAAATACTTCTATTTTTATTTTTCTGCTTTTTCAGAATGTATGTTAACTGTACCGGACCAGGATTCAGCTTACATTCTGATATTGTTATGCCTTATATTGCAAACTATGGTTCAAAAGAGCAGATTAAGAGGTTCATTCCAGATATGGTAGCGGGAAAATGTATTGGTGCAATAGCTATGACGGAGCCTGGAGCTGGAAGGTGAGCCAAAATGATCTTGAATTGCCCTGTGTGCAGTTTGTTGGAATTTAAGTCCCATTACAGCAAGGATGACGAATGTGCATGTCATTAGATTGTTGTTGTTGTGTGCTTTCAAGTCATTTCTGACTTATGGTGACCCTAAGGCAAACCTATCATGGGGTGTTCTTGGTAAGATTTGTTCAGAGAGGTTTGCCTTTGCTTTCCTCTTAGGCTGAGAGAGAGTGACCTGCCTAAGGTCATCCAGCGGATTTTCCATGGCTCAACAGGGATTTGAACCCTGGTCTCCAGAGTTGTAGTCCAGTGCTCAACCTACTACACCACACTCTCCCCATTGTGCTGTAGCTCCCAGTGTTCTTTCCCATTGGCTGTATGCTGGCTCAAGCTGATGGAAGTTGTAATCCAACCACTTCTGGAGGGCCACACAGTCCACACACACACACACATCAAAGTAAACATGCCTATGTCATTTTCTGTAAATTGCCCTGGAGACCTCAGAGGATACAAATGTGGTCTGCAAACAATCCACATATACAATAAATGCTGAGTGTTACTCCTGTTGCAAGAAATCATAAGGCAATCAAAAGGCCTCAAAACAAAACAAAAAAGTTATTTAGAAGCTGCTATTTGAGGAGTAAATGCTGCTAATGAACAAAATAGAAGCAAGTAATTGCCACAAAAGTAGAACTGGATGTAAATACACTAGGGGAAAATCAGATATTAGTGTACCTTGAATTATTATCTTCTTCGTTTTTGTTTTGTGTATGTGTGCTCTTTATTGAGTTTTGGAAGCTTCTTTGTAAACTGCTTTAGCTAGCTATGAGCGTACCTGTTTACTCAGGGTCCTGATCTTTACTCAGAAATATGTCCCTGCTGTCTTCAGTGGTGCTTCTTGCAAGATGGGCCACAATTTGATTTAAGTCACCCAGTACCTGCTATAATATACAGTATATACTCGACTATAAGTTGAGAAATTTATGCCCCAAAATTGACCCTAAAATCCTGGATTGACTTATATACGGGTTAGTCCACTAATACTGCTTAGAAAGGTCCTGAAATAAGCATGCCTGATGCCCCACTCTTGGTGTTTTCTCTCTCTCTCTCTCTCTCTCTGTAAGAGGTTCCCAATCTGATTTGCCAGCCTTCTTTTCTCATGGAAGAAACACCCTATATAATACCACTTCCTTCCCTTCCCAGTTCGATTTGCCAGCCTTCTCTCCGCATCGAAGAAACACTCCTTTTAACTTCACTTGCTTCCCTTCTCAATCCGATGTTAAAACCTCTCCCCTAGCACCTGGGAATAGGTTTATGATTGGGAGAGGTCCAGAGAAGGAGAGATGGAAGTGGACTTTTCCCCTTTCTATTGTTTGTTATAGCCCTCTAAGTTTTACCCTCGATTTGTCCATGGGTCATATCAAAATCCATGATTTTGATCATGAAACCTTCCCTCAACTTATACATGAGGTCAACTTGGACACGAGTATATATGGTAGATGGAGTGTCTCCAGGGTGGGCTATGTGGTATGTGCACATTTCAAGGATCTCTGCAGGGCCTCTTGCACTCACATGCTCTTGTGGGATCTCTCCCATGGAGAGCTGCTCTTACCACGGTCACAGGTAGAGAGCATAAGGTGCCCTTGTCACAATCCTATCCTCAAATGCATTGTAGTGTTTTTCCCCCCAGGAGAATTGAGATTCCATCAGATTCTAACAGAGTCTAAATTACTTTCCTGACCTATATTTCTCCACAGATTGGAAATCAAATTTGTTCTTATATATGCTTAGTTCAGGGGTAGGTAACCTTTTTGAGCCGGGGGCCGGGTTGCTGTC